ACTATGTTACTGCATATTTTCATATAAATATTTCCACATAGAAACATTTCTTCAAAAATAAAGGGGACAGGTAATTAAGGAGCTACAATGAAAAGTTTTTACCATTGAAATATGCAAATATTTGCCTGCAACATGATATATGCTTACTTTTCAAATATTAAAAGTTTTAACCATTTCATTTGATGTAGGTCTGGACCAATAAATTGTGTCCATTAGTTCAATCCGTTCTTCTAGAATAATTATTCTAATTGTGAAAAATTATCCAAATTTGGTAAGCTTTGCAACCCTTTTCATTCAAATTGGGCTAAGAATATCACAAAAATACAATTTTCAATTTATTTCTGGCTATTATTTCTTGATTATCTTTTGCATATCTTTCTGTTTTAAGTGTCAAAGCTGATCTATTTAAAGAATTCAAATTTTATGTTTTTAGGTTCTTGGACCTGAATGGAGTTCCTTGACCATTAAAGTGCACACTATTCGAATTCTAAAAATAGATTATTCCAATTTCGATTCAGGGAAAGTCCATTTTACAAATTTAGGACACTAATGATTAATGTATTGCAACTAATAATTTTTGTAACAAATGATCTTTGACCCCCTCCCCCCTATATCTCTCTTGTTTAAACCAGTCTAAATTTGTTTTTTGTGACCTAGCAATGCCCGACTTTTTATGATTATGAAACACCGCTACAATTTTACAAAATTTATTACCCAGCTAAGATTTTTTATGACATTTTTTTACCATATATAGCAATGAGAATGTAATGAACAACATTTCTTTGACCTTCTATGACCTGATATGATGTCATTACGATGCCACTATCTATTGATGTGCGGGGGAGACATTGTTAAAACTCACCTCGTCAGACAAGACGTCGCGCACATTAATACTACAACAACATTTGTTGCTAACAAACATTGAAACATATTTTTAAATGAGGCCTGTAGTTGCGATGGAGAGAATCTACCGCAAGTCAAGCTTTGTACTTTATGAAAAGATTAGGAGAAATGTTTGCGGTCCAAGGTAAGTTATCACAGACGAAATTGTATGTTTAACACTTAAGTCATGAAATCAGATAGACGAATAGTTACATTAGAGGACTAGAAATGACCAAACAAATCTATTACTTTAAGACTAATATACTTCACTCAAAGTAGATATAAATGATATTATCAATATCAAAGTAACCAACTACATCTAAGACACAAAATGAGCTCTTTTGATTAATTTCGATCGGAAATTATTTTTGCCTCTGACCATGAGATAACACTCCTGTAGAGTAATTTCAATTTTGTCGTTTTGAAATTGTAAAAATTACATAAAATACCATTTTTTTATGTTTGTTTTGGCTGAAATTGAAAACTACTCACTTTAACCGCAACTTGCTAATAAAATGCGTCCTACACAAATATTTAATCATAAACACCCCGCATTTTACACTGTCTAAAACAAAAGTGGTCAAAAAACTGTTGAATTTACACCGCAATCTGAAGATGAACATAAGCAACTATCCTTTGCTTTATAATATTAAAAATGTATCTATAAACTTGCAAGACAATTTTTTTTTATCTATCCCAACAGGTTGTTGCCAGACCAATTAAAAATCTGCAAATCAATCTTTGATTCGGTTGACTGCTTTATTCTTTAATTTTGATATCAAAATATAAAAAAAAGATCATTAAGGAAGGGCGGCATTCAATGAATGCAACCCCGCAACACCCAAAACACGAACTACCGGTAAGAAGCCCAGCAGGACACTGAACAGGACAGGGCACAGTACCAAAACATTATAATGGGCAGTTCCAAATTTGATTACAGCATCATGACAAAAGTCAACAGTTAAATAATACAATGCATGATAAAATGGTATAACATTAAGCACTCTTTTGAATCAAATTTGATTTTTTGTTTTATAAACACAATGGTAGGTCATGACGTTTTCTTGTAAACCACTAGTACTGGTCAGTTCCAGGAAGCCAACTTGAATATGATTAATATAAGTGACAAGAACTTGTTTCACAATCAAACATTAATAAATAATAAAAAATTAAACGAAAAATCTGCAAACCATAATCAAAGCACTACTTTTCAGACTTTTAATTACTTAATGTAACCTTGACCTTGTTTTAAATGTGGGTCTTATCCTTGATACATTGTCAACATTAATTTTGAGACATACAGATTATAAAAAAACATTTGCAATAAAACAATACAAGATGCAGTCTATTACAAGCAAGTACAGACAGACTGTCTGAACGGACAGATGATTCTGCATCTATTGAACATTTAGTTACACCATTTCTTTACCAAATTACAGTAATGTAAAACTTTGTTTATTAACCACAAGCTGACTCAACAAACATAAAAGACTTGTCAATTCTACAATAAAATTATGACACATATCCTTATACAACTTCAGTTATATCATTTTTTTCTGATTTTTATGTTCACTACCAAGAACTTGCAAAACAAACTTGCACTAACAATGATAAAAATTGGAGCCTATTCTTAGATAACAATGTACCAAATAGTCTCCCCCACAACAACCACCTCCTCTCCCACCCCAGCTTTGTATCCAGCCTTGACCCTTACACTACTAAATTATTCGTTATTTGTAGAAAAAATATCAAAATAAGTACTGACTGAATAGCAAACAGTGCAGACGGCACTGATATGCTGGCTGATTTTGGTCTGCACTTGTCGCATGGGTAGAATCTATTGCCGACAGCCGGCTAAGAGTTTAAAAGAGTCACTCTCTCTTTAAGTACCTTACTGAAGTAAAATCACTTTCATTTATCTTACATAAACCAAACAAATGGTCTGTTTGTCTTGACTCAAAGATTAAGAGGTATTTAAGAAGAGTTTAAATAAGATTTAAACACATCTAATTATAATGCTTATGAATTATAAATTTTGTAAATAGGTATCACTAGAATGAAGTTGTTTAAAATGGGCCTCAGATAACCTATTTTTACAATATATCTGTAAGCAGACATTGTGAAAAATTCTTTTGACCCTATTTTGATTGACATACAAAATTCACCTAGTTCTTAATAAATATATGTTGTTATTAAATAGTCTTGACTACAATACTGAATTTTATTGGACCAGAACTCAGCTCTCAACTTATATTGGACAAGGTGTTAGCTGAGTCCAATATAGTTTTTGCTGCTGTGCATGAGTCCAATAAAATATGTGTTTTCGACAATATATATGGACTTCTTAATCAATTCTTAATTTCACACAACCAATTTTTAACATTTTGATAAAACTACTTAAAGTAAAATATAAATTTTATAATTATGATTTTTTTGGGGGTTAAGAAAATGAAAATGATGCAGAGTACAATGTGGCTTTGATTTGGTAGTGTGAAATAAATGAACTTTGGGGAAAAATATCAATATATACTGAAGAGAGAAAGAAACACAATAAGTATAAGTTATGCTTACTAGTTGCAATAATGAGTTGTCTATGTTACACTTAGCCAGTAGAATGAATATTTGGCCTGAATGTTGTTCCCAGAAAAACAGAGGGAGGGTGAAAATCATACATGTGAACTTTTTTCAATGATCAAGTGGGAGATTTTTCTTCAAAAGAGGGAGATTTTGGAATTTGAAATAAACAAAGAAGGAAGTTCTGACATCAAAAATAGGGAGATTTCTTTTATTTGTGAAAATACCCCTTATTTTCAGAAAAATCTTTGAAAATATGGCTGTAGAAAGTGGGAGTCTCCCGCTAAAAGTGGGAGAGTTCACATGTATGGAAAATGATTTTCCCTGATAGATGTATCGGGGCGAAAAATACTTCTATTTCCCCTTCTAATTATTCTAAACTACCCATTTCATTTTTAGAACTGTTCATTATCAACTCTTGCGATATTTAAATGAAAAGTTATAAGTCAGCCAATAATATAGACCCTGGTCTGACTGCACAGATGTTTAGACTGGCCTGGCATTATACTGTGGGCAAAGGCACCCTCTAATCACTACGGGATCCGGGAGTGTAAAGGTAGAAAACAAGCTTATATTTGTGAATACATTTGTATAATTGATATTAAAGCCAAAATTATTTCATTAAAGTTTATTTCACAGGAGACACTGAACTCAAAAGTGCAATTTTAATGCTGCAATTAAGTATGGTTTAGATTATGATTTCCGTGTGACCCTCTGACAAAATATCATTATTTCATAATTATCATATAACATGTTTTAAAATGTCAAATGTCAGGAAAACAATCATTAATGCTAATTATTATAACTATAACAGCAGATTTTGACATGAAAATAAATTTCCTTAATATCTCAAAACCTGAGGAAATAAAGAATCTACTAAATGACAAACATGGAACCTACATGGTTGAATGGTTATGGAATATGGACATTGTCTTTTCAATTGCAAAGCCCTTACTGCTCTGGGTCTAAGCGCAGCAAAAAGTGTTGGGTTCTTTCATGAGTGGAAGTTAAGTAGCTAGATTCAAGAAGGTTTGTTTGACTGAATTTTAAATCACATCAGCACTGTTCAGATCAGAATGCAGCTTTACAAGAGGAAGTAGAGCTCAGGCTTATTTCAGGCATATGCAGGCACCTATGTAGAACCACCAACCTTCCTGTGGAGATTTAAACCCACAGAAATGATGGACAAGTAGATTGGTCTGCAACCTTAATCACTTGGTCACTGAGGATAGTTGGTAGTTCTAAAGCTGTGCCAACTTGCACTTAATAATGCATTGATACCCTAAAGTGCTTGTCATTTACCACAAGAGCTGGAGACTCACCAAGCTTTAAACAGTATGAAATTATCAAATCACTTCAGCCCCCCCCCCACCAAAAAAAGAACAAAAAACAAACAAACAAATATTTTAGTCTTACATGTTCTTGTATGGTTGTAAAGAGCAGGAACAAACTTTGAGGCCCATTTAAAATATTTCTCTGCATCCCTGGATCAATATAACTTAAATAAAAAAAACAGCCCCAAAAAAAAAATATTTTAGACTTACATGTTCTGGTATGGCTGTAAAGAGCTGGCACAAATTTCGAGGCCCATTTGGGTATTTCTCTGCATCCAGGGTCATCACCATAATCTCATTATATAATTCATATGCTACAGCTGTCAGATCCTGAAAACATATAGCCGTCTTGTAATTATAATTAAATGCAAAATGACGCTTCACAGCAGATCTATACATATCTTATTATATAATTTTTCTTCATAACAAATTCTTTGGAATTTTGATAATGTCCATGATATATATATTCAAAGTGGTTAAATTTTCATACAAATTGCATAATTATACAAAAATTGTAATTACTGTTTAAGGTATCAAGCAAACAATAGTTTACCTTGAGGAATATTTGACCCAAAAATTCAGTTTCAATACAAAATGCATCGCAAATTATTATTTTTTATTCTTTTCTTTAAACATAATGTTTGTGAAATTAGACAGGCTTTATTTTCATATTTGCATGATAGTGTGAAGTTATTGCAAATTCTCAGATATAAAATGTTGAGCATGTGATTTATTTTAAATCTTTAAAATCTTTATATGATTATCAAGTAGTGTTTCTCAGGTGGACATTAAAAAAGGGTGGATCCTATATTGAGAGAATGTTTTATGAGGGGTACATAAATCTTTAAGAAAAAACCTCAACAAAGTCTGACACATAACTTGATGTCTCGTTAATGCATTTTAGCACAATAATTTGGATATTTTAATCATACAGCTTCAAATGTTGGAGTGAAAGAAAATTCTTGCTTCTTTCCTTAACCAATTATATATTTTTTAATACATGATTGGGAGTCATGGTAAACAGTCTTCAGTCTTGACCATTTCCTACAAAATGTTATATTAGTTTAGATAAAACATAAATTTTTGCTCGAATTTACAGAAAGTTTGAACCACTTTCAGTCCAGATCCTGGACCTTACCATTACTGGTATAACATGAACATGGTCATGACCCCAGTGGGGCTCAAACTCATAATCCCAGAGTTGAATGGCACTTTCCTTATCCATGAGGACACAGCAATGTTTACATATATGTTATCTATAATCTTAAAAATCATTTTTTTGACATTCATGTACCTGATCTTTGACCCTTTGCATGCTAAATATCTGAAATGCACTTGCCCATCTATCAATCTGGTCAAAATCAGTTATAGTTTTTATATTGTTGTTTTTTTTTTTGGGGGGGGGGGATGGGGGTGGGGGCGCTCACTTTGGTCTGCACTGGTTGCATGTGTAGAATCAGTTACAGACTGCAGGCTAAAGGTTAGATGTTAGATGAAGTCTCAGATAACTTTACTGATCTTTGAAGTACATACAAACTACTTACATCATTCACTGGATTTTGAGTACATGTAAATATAAAAACTAACCTGAAGAAAAGGTGAAGATGATGTAAGATTATCTGTATTAGCCATAGCTATCAGAATAGGCAATTCTTCCTCCTTCAACATACTGAAAATATACACATGTATACTAAGTAAAATTAAAATGTGACAAAATGTGACATATACACGTAATTAAACCCTTTTACCCCAAATTCCAATTATTCTCTTAAATTGACTTTTTCATCTCTAACTGTGTAAAAGACCATTTATCATTATAGTGAAAATTTCAAGATTTGTACTGACTGAATAGTGAACAGTGCAAACTCTGAGCAGACCACATAATTGTGAACACTTATCCTATTCTGCAATGGTCACATTGGTAGAAACAGCTTTTGCCAGCAGGCTAAGGCTATATATCTATTTATCTAAAGATCAAATCTAAAAGAATTTAACTTTCACTTTGAAAACTGAGGTGACACTATACTAAATTGGTAAAAAAACAACTATAGTTACAAACACAGACCTTGTAGAAGTATGGAACATATCAGAAGATAGTGGTGTAACAGGCATTCTGCTGTGGTCCAGGATAAACTCTGTTACAACATCTGTACACACAGCTACATCTTCCTCACAGGTTGTATTAGAGTTGATATTATAACTGAAAATACAACACAATTTTTGCTATGTTCTAACCTATTTTTATGAATAAAGGGAGGTAACAAGATTTCAAAATAATCACATCAATGCAGAGTTACCCAGCCTGCCTCAAATCTTATTACTTAAGTCATGTAGTTTAATGTAACTTACATTGAGGTAATGAAAATGAAACAGGTTTAAAAAATCACATATTGATAATAAATCTAAATTTGATAAAATTCATAATCTCCATGTTCTATTTTATTTTTGTCTTTCGTTTGTAATTTTTGTAAACAATTTAAAATAGATCGTTTTTATTGAAATAATAATGAGTTTCATCTAAAAATAATAAAAAAACAAACATATGAAAATGTGTCCATAGGCGCATTAGTGACCACATTGGTATAAACATTTTTATTCATCACCAGCGGGAATTGTGTGTGTGCCGTTAATCTGTGTAGTTACTAAAGATGATGTACTTTTATTTTTACCAGAGAAATACAATATCTTGTCAAAGTCACATGTAAATGTTTCATCTTCATTATTACCACTCCCAAGTGGTCAAATAAACAGATATACCTATATGAGATTTCACACTTCTTTCACACTCATATTTACCAATCGGTAATCAGCCTTCTCAATCAGTAAAGAGCCAGGCTAGCCTGCACATTTATGCTGCCCGACGAATTCTATACTATTGGTAGCTCATTTTATATTCTTTTATATTGAAATCTGGACTGTTCTACATACAAAGCAGAGCTAGTCCATTACAAAAATTCAGCACATAAAGGGTTAAATATGGTTAGTTTTCAGACTAGATAATGGACAGTTCTGAACCCCACATTGAGCAAATGTCACAGGGTGTGGCCTGGCAGGAAATCGAACCTGGGACCTTTGGGATACTGTTCTGTGACACTACCGATCAAGCAATCTGGCCACTTACACTTCATCTCCCCTAGATAGTGAACAGTTGTGAACAATGACATATTTAAACATGGAAGTAAATTGAGAGTAATGACATAATAATGATAAAGTATGTATTACGTGTGAGCTTTGTGGTATCTATGTAGTAACTCATTATCCGGATTCTCCATTGTATCAAGTAACGGAACACCGTGTTCCATAATCACAGCTTTTACCTTATCTCTTCTCTCCAATGTCAACTGAAATAGTAACATTTATGTTATCATTAAAGTGTAGTAATTAATGGAAAAATATATAATTTTACTGTAAGGTTATATGATCAAGTATCTTATATAACCCAAACCTCTGGGCTTGGGTTATATTGCTAAGAACTGTTTAAATATAGCATCATAGCATGTTACCTGTCAAGAAATTATAACACAGCACAATTCCTTAAATATAGGAGAATACAAATTACTTCATTTATTTTCAACAGACTTGTATATAGATTATAGTATAGCCTGCGGCATGCCGATTTTTCATGTATTTTTTCTGTCTGCAGCATGCCGATTTTTCATGTAATTTTTCTGTCTGCGGAATGCCGATTTTTCTGTATATTACAGTACATAAATTATATAAACATCATGATTATCCAATGGAAATCAACGTACAAACATGCAATATTTAATTTTTACAAAACAAGGATACAAGCATCTTTTAAAAACCTGCATTGACCTATATATAAGAGTTTCTGTGACAAAAAATTTGGGATATATTTATTGACAATATGACAAACCATAAAATGGATTCAACATCAAAAAGCCAGCTCAGCTTCTTCAACATGATAAAATCTTGTAACAAAAATCCAAAAAAGCGAAAAGAGATGTATTTTATTCTTACCTTTGTAACAATGACATCAGCATTTTCTGGCAAGATGCCAGATCTTATAGAGAAGCAGTCGACAACACTGTAGAGCCGCTCACACAGCAGTCTCAGGCATGAGTATCTCCAGAAAGTACCTGACTCTGTCTCTGTGGCTGGGCTTACACTGGCTACCAGCCATACATCTTTCTCCTACATGTACAATATGAATAGATCAAATAATAAGAAATTGTTGCAAAACCAGGTTTTTTTGCAAATACCACATATGTGAAAAAATAACAAAGGTCTTATTTCAACCAACAATGATTAAATCACAAAACTCCAGATAAAATGTGCAAGGGTACTTGATGAAAATCAGACAGTGAAATTTTAGTTGAAATCCCTCAACAAATGTAGGAGAGGTTGCACACAAAAGAAATCACAAGAGTTTTTACAGAAAAAATGTTAAAATGTTAAAAATACACATTGACAAAAGTAATTTTTTTGATGCTTTAAACATTTGAGTTCATGATTACAAATGTATGGAAAGCCTTTCCAGATAATTCTGCATTTGGAAAATGTATGGAAAGCCTTTCCAGATAATTCTGCGTTTGGAAAAAAAAAAATTTTTTTTGTTTGTTTGGTTTGGTTTTACGGCACACCAACACAATAAAGGTCATATGGTGCTCAAAAAAGAAAGATGATTTTGGTTTACCATTAACTCTTTAAGGCAACCCCTAATCCACAAGGGAGATCAGGTCATCATGAAGTCAGGACTTCAGTCAGAACTGTAACACCATTTAACGATTTGAACAAATAATTCTGCTACTCACAATAAACAAAACTATGACAGCTGTCAACATACCTGGAATGATGAAGGCAGGTGGTTCTTGTCAACATTAATCACAGAGTTGTCTGCTATTCTTGAAAACCATTCTAACACAGGCTTCACCTGTCAATATAAAACACAATTCATATATCAAGATAAAATTTTGTTGTTGTTTTTTTTTCTCATTTATTATCTTTTTTTTTTTTTTGGTTTAGTTTTGTGTCTTATATGGTGACTTTCCAGCTTTACTGGTGGAGGAAGACATCAAGTGCCCCTCGGTGCATTATTTGAGGCATGAGCGGCACATACAAATGTAAGTAGAACCAGATGGGATTCAAACCTGCAGTAGTGAGGGGCAAGTGGTTTAAAGTCAACAACCATAACCACTCAGCAACATATGATGACTTCCAAGCTTTATAAGAGGAGAAAGATCTTGCATGTCTGCTTTTATTATTTCAGGCACCAATAAGTATATCCCACCTTCCTATTTTACCTATACTGTCATATCAAATGCAAAATCAAATCTAGATTATGAAGTTATCAATATTGGTACAAGTATTCCAAATGACAAATTAAAACCGATGATAAAACAGATGAAGATAAAAAATTCAGTTATTTGTGTCAGTTACTGTTAAAACTTGAAGATGACTGAGCAGGCAGAAGAGGATTTTGTTTCACATTGAAATAATCAAATTTGATCATAAAATGAGCCGCGGCATGACAAAACCAACATAATGGGTTTGGGACCAGCATGGATCCAGACCAGCCTGCGCATCCGCGCAGTCTGATCAGGATCCATGCTGTTTGCTTACAAACTCTATAACAAGTAGAGAAAGCGATAGCAAACAGCATGGATGCGCAGATGCACAGGCTGGTCTGGATCCATGCTGGTTGCAAACCCATTATGTTGGTTTTGTCATGACGCGGCTCAAATGTATAAAATGTATCTATATACCCGTATAACACCATGGTAGTCCATGCGAACATGTTTCTTGAATAGTTTCTGGCTATTTTTGGTCAAACATTCAGATGTGTCCATCCAACCAAGACCTCTATATGCAGCTATAGTTGGAAATCCTCGGACATTATGGTTACGGCATAGTACAGGTTCTGCTGTACAGTTTATATAGTACATGGACCCGCCATCTGTCGGAAAATTATATTTTATATTTAAAGATAAACTTCAAGCAAGAATACTAAATACATAATGTTAAATACTTTTAACTCTTAACATAAAGCAAACTAAGTTATGATGAATAAAGAAAATTACAGTTTCAATGATGTTTAAGGAGATTAATTACATGTTTAAATAACAGAAGCACTAGACATCTTAACATGTGACATGCCTCAGTCATGTAATTAACTTTAATAATGGATTTGTCCTGCTTTTTACTGGGAAATGTCAACTGAAGATTCAAAGATTAAGATGATAATAAAGAGCTTACATCATAGAAGTACAGGCTGTTCTAGCACCACTATATCTATAGCATAAGTCTTACAAAAACTCTCAGGGTTATGCAACAAACTATTTCATTAAAATGTTACCATACTGAAATGGTCAAAGGACAAAGCAAAAAAACTCTAGTAAAATTAATAAATTTAATTAATAAAACTGCAAAAATCAACATAGATCAAATAATCTTTTATTAAGCGGGCACCCCGAGTAGAACCACCAACCTCTCTCCCTGGCAGGTGAAGTTGGCGATCTTAACCACACGACCACAACCTTAATTACATGACCACAAACAAGATCATCGATGACCATTTATCAATTATAAGTATAGACAGAGTATTACAACATACCTATATGAGCAACCTCTTTTTGAATATCTCTGAATGTCTGATTGTTTCTACGACAATTCCCACAGTCAGCCATTATAAACACCACCTGATATAGTAAAAAGATTCTCTGTAAGTCATTTTACATAGGAAAACATAATTAATTAAATATTGTTCAGAAATTAAGTATCAGATACCCTATAAGTCACCTTAATATAGGAAAAAATAATCTTTTTTTACTAAAAATTATTTTAAAACAAAGAAGCAACCAATTAAGTTATAAAAAGTGTAAACACTTTTAAAGTTTTGCTTCATGACAAAGAAAAATATTTTGAAACTTTGTTTAAATTTTTTTTGCTTTTATCAGCAGATCATATGACAACTTATACTGTTGTAAGTATACTGAAGAGGCTCAACATGCATTAGTTCTAGGTGACTCTTACCTTAACCTGCTGAATTCTGTGTATTGAATCCGCTCAGCTTTGAATATTGGAAAAATCCACTCAAAATGTGAGGGATTTTAATACAATGTATCTTGACAAAAAAATTAAAAAATTTAATACAAAAAATTAAAAAAAAAAATGATACAAAAAATTAAGCTATAATCAGTATAGAGCATGGACAGACTTCACAGATATGCAGGCTGATCTGGCTCTATGCAGTGGGTAAAGGCTAATCATTTCCTGATGCAGCAATGTTAAGGGTTTCTAAGCAAAAGAAGTCCTAATTATTATAAGAAATATAAAGAAGGCAGCTTACCAAAGAGACTTTAGTGACTTCCCCAGCCCACTTTCCAGATTTGTAGAATATATGTCTAGGTGCATGTGATTTCTCCACAACATCTACCCATGTATCTTTTGTTAACAGTGGTATATTCTCATGTACAGACAACTTCTTCTCCAGTGCATCTGTGTCAAACTTAATCACAGTGACAGATAAAATTATTACCTTTTTTTTAACTTCATTTACATAATTCTAAAGGCATATTATGCCTCAGAAATGCTTTTATAATTATTTCCGAAAAGCTTTTTTATTTTTTGTATACTATAGCTTACAAAAAGTTACTCATTGGCAGATTATCTGAAATATCTTTTGGCAATTAGTACAGTTACAAGTATAGTGATTTTTTTTATGGAAGTCAAAATACACATGTACTACTTCATTTTCATTTAACTAATTTTATGTCATATAAGTGCACCATTCTTTAGGCAGCAAGCATCTTACATGCTCTAAAACCATCATTCAAATGTTATAATACATGTACTCATGTTTGCCCTTTCTAAAAATGTAAAAATTTAATTATTTCTGAGGCATAATGTGCCTTTAAAGAAAAACAACTACACTGCAAGAATAGAAATATCAGAACTTATTATATCTGTTGAATTATTTTTCAATTAAACGTAAATAATAATAATACATGTATAAATAAATTATCTGAAATAAAGCCACTGATCTTTGATAATAATAATATAAAAATATTATTATCTTATCATTGTTAGCAAACACAGTCAAACTCACCAAATCGTGCACAGACTTCTTGACTGGCTCCTTCTTTTTAATCACTACCTGTTTTTTGACAATTCTGATTTTTTTCACAACAGGTTTCTTTACCACTGGTGTATTATCTGTCATATTATGTGACCAGGATGTACAAATCCTTCCATATGGACCTTCCTCTATGCTTGAATACTGGAACAATTAGTATGTTATAATATAGATATAAGATACCTGCGGATATAGGTTTTTCAACAAGATCTGGTAATTGACAAAACTAAACTGAAAATAACATCATTACTTTTCTCAAAACAAAAATCATATCCCACATATTGACACAAGAGTCTGTCTTTATTTTCCATTCTAGGTATCAATGTCCCTCATGATAAACATTTTAACTTAATGTTTAGTTTGCATATTCTTTATAGTAATGACTTTTCAAGGGAGGTAACAGAGATTATATGTATTTGTTGTAGATTGCAAAATACAACAAAATAACAAAACTCAGTTAAGAGACAAAAAAGAGAAACTATTATTTCAACTGATGGTCTGGAGAGATTAATTCTTATTGTTAGTAAGAGGTTGGCAAAAGTTTTGAGTGATCTAGAACATTTTGTTCTAGTAATCAGTTCAGTGGCAAAAATTGCTGGACTGTATATGTGTTTACATATATGTCCGTGAATAAAGCAATATGATATTGTTCATTTCTTTTTGATCTTAAAATGGCTAACATGAACAATGGACAGAACAAAATCCAAAACATTACAAGCACATTATAATAACTTTGATAGGTAAGGGCCAAAAACTTATCTGACAATTATAACATGGTCTTATACTGGGCAAAGATTTTTTCCCCATTTCTGCCCTCATTCTGAATGAAAACAGCGTCTGAGGTTATAAAGAATTTCTTTATTCTCAAACTCAGATATCATGTACATTGTACATGTACATGATTGGTCGGAAACAATCAATGAATGTACTCTGACCAATGAAAATCCTGAGATTTGAAACAAAGTTCAGAAAAATATTTATAACCTCCAGCTAGATCTTACTAACCTGATCATAGGGCAATATTCCCCAAGGATCTGAATACTCTTTAATACCAAGCATCTGTGGGAGGCCACTGTCTAGATTTAGTATTGGTTCGTACATCATCCAAGGGTAAGGCCGTCCAATGTGAAGATATCTTGATTTCAAATCACCAGTAGAATCTGTAAACAATATACATGTATATAGTTGTAATGCACTTTTACATATACAATGTATGTCTATATTGCACATATCTCTCAGTTTTAGAATTCTTATAGCAATGACAACTTGCCTATCAAATCAAGATGTTGGAACTAAGGCCATCCTGCTTATTACCCAGTGCAGCCTGATCTGGCTTAACAACTGGTAATTCAATTTTGCAAATCCTCTTTACATAACAACTGAGTGAACTGACAGATCCAAATGAAATACAGGGAAACTCCATTTACACAAATTAAGTAAGTTTTAGAATTAAAAACAGCAAGATTACTGGAATTCGACAGCTTAAAATAAACCAAAAAATACCTTGAAGATTAAATATTCTGCTAAAAGTTGCAGCAAATTATATTATCCAATATATAAGTGACGGTGATTTTAAAAATGTTTCATTTCTTGAACTTAAAGTAACCTCTTTTGAATTACTAAAAAAAATAAATTATTATTAATGCCAAGAGCCAATGCCTTTGTTTTACTTTGATCTTGAAGGGTGACTTTGACTTTATGCTAACAGACCTGTATACAGTTACATTCAGGGTTTAATTGTATAACGGACAAACTGTTGGTTTGAACAACGAAAACACTGAATGGTATCATACCTACCTTTGTATATAAGAGACAGAAAGGGTATCTGCTTCATGGCACCTGATTTTATATGTCTCTTTATCACTGTAAAATATTTAATATCATAATCCAGTTGTCATAATGGTAAAGAATATTTTATACATATTCATTAAAGGCAATATTGACAAAAGTTTGGATATAGAAAAAAAACATTATTTTAATAAAATTATGATGCTCATTTTAAAGAGTCTGTAATAAAAAAGAATGGAGTTTTATTTTGTGATGTGAATACATAATATACCATCAATTTTGTAACTAAACAGGATGCTCCGAATGCTTGCGGCAAAAATGAGTATCCAATGCAACCAGTATAAAGCAAGGGCATGCCGCCTGTTTATTTGTTCAATATGACCAGATTTTACATTGTTGCGTAACAAACAAACTTGTAGACTGAAGTAAATTAACTTAACAATGGATAGTTTCAAAATCACAGCAGGGCTAGTCCATTCCACACATTTAGGAAAGTACAGGTTATAAAAAAAATATCTAATTTAACTCAATGACTTCTTGCTTACATTTTTTTGTAGAATCTTTCGTCAGGTCAACCAGTCCATATATAAGATTGGCACCATCTTGTTTATATTGTTGAACTGTCATATTGTAGGCGTACAGATAACCAAACACATCATGTGACCAGTGTGCATAGAAACACACCAACAGAGGCTTGAACTCCCAGTCTGGATCACTCTGGTTGCCATGTAGTAAAGTTTCAAAGGTTTCCTGTTTTTTTTATGATACAGAGCATAAAACATACACTTTGCTAAGAATGATTTAAAACATCATATTTTTTTAATCAAATTTAAATGTTTTAAAAGAAATACAGATAAAAAGTGCCTTTAACCATCTTAACAATCTTAGCAGGCTGAAATAAGTTTAATTAAAACAATACATCTCAAAATGTCTTACTGAAAAAATAAATAAAATAAGAACAAAAACATACCAGGTTTAGTAAAGGAGCATCCACACTATATGCCATCATGTATACTTTCATCACATGTGGTTTCACATCATGTCCAGAAAACACCTGGAAGTCTTCTTTTAATGTTTTGTTGACAACTGTAAACATACAATCAGTATATATAGTAAGTATAGTAAATAAAAAAAACAAAAAACATATTTCGATTTCAGTGATTTGTAACATATCAAAGATTTTTTACCAGTGGGGATCAGTATCTTTTGACATGGATATTTCAAAGGGGGTTTGGCATTTTGGTAGTTTTCCGGAGGGGGTCACGAGTCAAATTTTTGCTGCCTTTTACTAGTTTATGCATGTTTCTATTTCCAAAAAAATCTTCAGTTGATATCCAAATCTCAGAGATGTTTCCTAAACAAGCCAAATCCAGAAATCCAAGGGGGGGGGGGGGTCATGCCCCCGTAGCCCTGCCCCTCTTTTGATCTGTGCATGCTAGACTACCAGTGTATGTGAAAACGAGCCTGCACATCTAAACAGTCCAATCAAGCTCTACACTCTTGGCTGCTAAATCACAGCAATGAAGTAGGACAAGTCCAATATTTAAACATATAATACACAATACTGAGGGCCTCATAGCATTATAGTGACCGATAAATCAGCCCTCAAACATTCAGGGCACCAAAGGCGAAGGGAGTCAATAAAATGCTATAAGGTCCAAAGCATTATGTGCTATTACTTATATTTAACCACATTTTGTTTTGTCAAAATGGTCAGAGCTGTTTTGAAAACAGACATTACATATAGTCCAAATAAAATGTACAGAAAAGTTTCATTAACAGCAGTATAATGTGCATCTTGTCATGATAGTACGCCACTAAATTTTAGCAGTCCGATGAAAGTGTAATAGTGCCCACTCAGGCAGTCATTATACTTTTTTGTCAGACTACTGACAGCATCCTGAAATTTATATTATTTAAAGGCCCAATGACATTTATAAAAGTAAAGAAAGAACTTTATTATATAAGGTACAATATATAAATCTAGTATAAGAGCTAAGGCTTATAATGTTTATAAAATCATTATTGTCCGAATAAATAAATAACATAATATACTGTCACTATACATTATTCAAAGAAATATCAATGTCACAATGAAAAGGTTTTGGAGATATGCAAGTACAATTCAAGGCAATAACAATGCACAAATTTAATAAGGTCAACTTCAATATCTTGTTATATAATGCAATTACCTCGAATGAACAATAGACGCTTTCAAACTCAATTGTAAAGAAAGTGAAGAAAATTCAAAGTACAAATTGCGTGGGTTTAAAGGATGAAATGTCACTTATTATATGACAAACCACAAATGGAATGTATGAAAGTTGTTTACTTCTACATTATAAACTACATTAACTGAAGATTCTCTGTAAACAATATGAACTTTTAAAATCTTCCTTTTTTTTTCTGAGGAAATATTTTCTGTTTTTATGACATATCATGACAAGTAATAAAGAAAACCTTATCCAGTAATTGCCAGTGTTATGGCATTTGTAAGTTTGTACTAGGAGATAGTCGAGGCTGGCAAAAATGTCAACATAAAACCGCAAATATTTCATGACGGCTTTGCACATTCTATTTTTTTTGTACATTTTATTTTTTTTTCTGAATTAACCAAAACTGCACTTTACATTTTCAACTGTAATATTTGAGTCTGACTGAAATTGTTTAAAGTAATTAAACTGTAATTAATTCTGTAATATTTCAGTAGAATTATATTCCATTTTTTTTTCCTCTTAAATTTGTGGACTCTATTTTTCCAACAGGTAAAATGTAAATAATGTTATGCAAAATAATCTTACAGAAGACAAAATGAAATTTCTTAGATCTAAAATTCTTGGATTGACCTATCCATGAAAATTAGTTTGAATAATCATGATTTTGCAGTATTAGTCTACCTTAAAATAAAAGTACATCCCATTATTCTAAAGGGGCTAAAATGTAATAAAGTATCAGTTACCACAACAAGAGGGCCATGATGGCCCTAGATCGCTCACCTGACCCATCAAACTCATCCAAACAATTACTGAGACAAGCATTCTGACCAAGTTTCATGACAGGTGAGTCAAAAATGTGACCACTACAGTGTTAACAAGGATTATCCATATTTGAGCAGTGTGACCTAGTTTTTTACCCAGGTGACCCAAATTCAAACTTGACCTAGAAATCATCAAAACAAACTATCAGACCAATTTCCAGGATACTTGGATCAAAACAGTAGCAACTAGAGTGTTAACAAGATTTTTCTATTTTTAGCTCCGGTGACCTAGTTTCACATGCGATTTCGAACTCATCCGAGCAATTACCTAGACAAGTATCCTGACCAAGTTTGATGATAATTGAGTCGAAAATGTGACCACTAGAGTGTTAACAAGGTTTTTCTATATTTGGGCGGTGTGACCTTGTTTTTCATCTGAAATGACCCATGTTCGAACTTGACTTAGAAATCATCAAAACAAACTTTCAGACCAATTTACAGGATATTTGGATCAAAACAGTAGCCACTAGAGTGTTAACAAGATTTTTCTATTTTTAGCTCCTGTGACCTAGTTTTTTATCCGAGATGACCCATGTTTGAACTAATCCGAGCAATTACCTTAACAAGTTTCCTGACCAAGTTTAATGACAATTGAGTCAAAATTGTGACCACTAGAGTGTTAACAAGATTTTTTTATATTTTTAGCTCCTGTGACCTAGTTTTTCATCCAAGATGACCCATGTTCGAACTCATCCAAGCAAGTACCTAGACAAGCATCCTGATCAAGTTTGATGTCACTTGTGTCAAAAATGTGATTGCTAGAGTGTTAACAAGATTTTTCTATTTTTAGCTCCTGTGACCTAGTTTTTCATCCGAGATGACCCATGTTGAAACTCATCCAAGCTATCACCTAGACAAGCATCCTGACCATGTTCGATGATGATTGAGGCAAAAATTTGACTGCTAGAGTGTTAACAAGGTTTTTCTATTTTTACCTCTGGTTACCTAGTTTTTCATCCGAGATGACCAATGTTCGAACTCATCCGAGCTATCACCTTGACAAGCATTCTGACTAAGTTTGATGATGATTGAGGCAAAAATGTGACCGCTAGAGTGTTAATAAGGTTTTTCTATTTTTAGCTCTGGTGACCTAGTTTTACATCCGAGATGACCCATGTTCGAACTCATCCAAGCTATCACCTAGACAAGCATCCTGACCAACTTTGATGATGATTGAGGCAAAAATGTGACCGGTAGAGTGTTAACAAGGTTTTTCTATTTTTAGCTCTTGTGACCTAGTTTTTCATCCGAGATGACCCATGCTCGAACTCATCCTAGCTATCAACTAGATAAGCAACCTGACCAAGTTTGATGATGATTGAGGCAAAAATGCAACCGCTTGAGTGTTAACAACTAAATGTGGACGGACGACGGACAATCATCTATCCTAAAAGCTCACCCTGAGCATGCTCAGGTGAGCTAAAAATCAAAGCTTTGTACTCCACCTAACTAATTTTGGACCAAATTCATTGAATATAGAAAAAAAGTTGAATAAAAATCCTGGATAATGTAAAATTTTGTTTACCTTTATTATGTATGACAACAACAGATGGGTACTTGTTTACACTAAACCTTTGTCTAAGCAACCTGTAAAATACAAAACAATGAAAAGTGAAATTTATAACTGAAAAAAATGAATGTTTTTTTTTAACTTTTTGCCTGCTGATAGCAAACTGATTTTATCCTGTACAGTCACCATTTATACTAAGATTGCAATCCCGCGCATAGGTCGAAGGTTTCGATATTGCTCACTTTCTGTCTGAAGTAACGCGAGTGTATTCAGTGAGATGTGAAGAAAGCATATACTTAGATTGGTATAATTGTCACTTTAATTGACCCAGTATAATAGGGTCTGGTAACACTAACAGAAATAAACAATCAATTATACCTGCTATTGGCAAGTATTTTTGCTAGTATTTAATGACTGTGCATGTTTTTCCGAAGAATCTTGAAAATTTTATCTCTCTAATCACAGATTTCGTATCAATGGTACTTACCCAACCTGAGCAGAGTTCAAATGCACTGCCATTGCTTTACATGATTCCAGTTCCTCTGCCAACTACCAAATAACAAGTGAAATAATTATAAACACTTTTCTAGTCAGTTTTAAGATGAACATAAACTTCAATCGTCCTGCTCATGAAAACAATACCTCTTATAACAAATCAAGTACAGTCAAACCTGTGTTAAAGACACCTCTGATTAAAGATCTCCCGGAAAAAAAGGCCGCTCTTCAAAAATCCTTTATTGATTTAAAAGTACAAAGTAACCCCCAAATAAAGCCCACTTATCTATACAGGCCATGTTTGGTTCCTCCTTTTGATGACCTTTGATCACAGGTTTGACTATAAATTACTATATTATTCTATCTAATAATATGTAAATTAGGCTTGACATCGAACAGTTGAGCTACATACCCCATATATCATGTCCTCTACCTCATGATGTCTTGGACCATCCGGGAAAGCCAACAACACTATATCATACTTTCTCTGGGCTTTTCTTAAACGTTTCTCTGTGACCTCCTCACTCTGTTCCCTGTATAATGCTGACTGTAATGAAACAACAGTATATTACCTTTTTCAAATATGTATCTGATTTAATTGCAGTATTTTATACATGGGTATAATAACAAGAGCTGTCTGTATGACAGCACGCTCGACTATTCTAAGTGCTTGATAGTAAAAGAGCATTGGTAATGTTAAATTTTTTAAGTTCACAAAAGGGCTAATTTTTTTTTATAAATTCATGTTATAGGCCTAAGAGAGAGTCTTATTATACAGTATTGGCTTGATTATTCGGAAGGTAATGTCACAAGGGTGTTTTATTGAGTATAATAATACTAATTAACTATGAATACATAAATTTGACAGAAAAGGTACAAAGGCTTGTTATTAAGATGTTTTATCAAGCAAATCACTGCTTTATTATTATGAATGCATAAAATTGTCCCAAAAAAGGCACAAACCCTTCAGTAGTTATTGAGATAACAGCTTACAAGCAAAACTTTACCATGAATTTCTAAGTTGAAAAAGTGGAGAAAAAGCAGCCTAAATGCAAGATAGAATTATGGATCTTTGTTAGTGACCTACAATTATGACCCTTAATGCATATGTGAAGTTTTAAATAAATATCTTTAATAGTTATTGAGAAATGTAAAACTTGCATGTAAACATTAACCAAGAGACTAAGTAGAAAAGGGGATATGAATCAGCCTTAATGCAAGATAGAGTTATGGAACTTGGTCAGTGACATACAATTATGACCCTCCAATTATGACCCGAAGTGCATAAGTAAATATCTTTGAAGACCTTCAACCTTTAACCTTTAACCAAAATTTCTAAGTTTCAAAGGGGCAAATAATTCTGCAAATATTGCAGGCAGAGTTATGCAATTTTGCAAACTGATGTACATTGTTACTATAAAAAAGTATTTTAAATTTCAATTGAATATCTCAAACAGTAATTGAGATATTTGACTTTACAAAAAAACTTTAACCAAAATTTCTAAGTTCCAAAGGGGCATTATTCTGTCAATATTGTAAGCAGAGTTATCCAACTTGTCAATATGATGTACCTCGTTATTATAAATAAGTATTGTAAATTTCAATTGAATATCTCAAGCAATAAGTGAGATATTTGACTTTACAAAAAACTTTAACCAAAATTTCTAAGTTAAAAAGGGGCATAATTCTGTCATTATTGTAGGCAGAGTTATGAAACTTGTCAATCTGATGTACCTTGTTACTATAAATAAGTATTGTAAGTTTCAATTGAATATCTCAAGCAATAAGTGAGATATTTGACTTTACAAAAAACTTTAACCAAAATTTCTAAGTTAAAAAGGGGCATAATTCTGTCATTATTGTAGGCAGAGTTATCCAACTTGTCAATCTGATGTACCTTGTTACTATAAATAAGTATCGTAAGTTTCAATTGAATATCTCAAGTAATAAATGAGATATTTGACTTTACAAAAAACTTGAACCAACGCAGACGCCGACGCGGACGCCGACGCCAGGGCGACTACAATAGCTCTCATATTCTTCGAATAGTCGAGCTAAAAATCTAAAACCATACAGAGAAGAAACTATATGTAAAGATAGAGACAATGGGATAGAAATACTGACAGAAAGACATGTTTTAAGAGTTATTTCTTCGGTTTATTGAATAATATATGATCTACTCTATATAACGTAAAAAAAAATACTTATCAATTTTTGCACTCCTAGAATTCATAAAAATAACAATCAAATAAACCTGTCTATATATAGATCTTACTGTGAAATGGAAAATTAAGACTTTGACAGGTGTTTTTTTTTTAATATTTATCAATGCAGTATCATTTCATATTGCGCAAATGTAAAAATCAAAATCTTGTTTTGCATGATTATTTTTCTATATTCAAATATTCTTTAACTGATGTGTTTTCACTAAAATCTATAACACACATTTAATTCATTTTACCCATACTCTGCTGAGTTTCTTGAATGAACTTACTACCATTTTAAACAATCTATTTTTGGATTATCAAGCAGAAAATTTGAAAACATTATATAGCCAGGTCGGACTGTATTTCATGCAGGCTTGCCTCGGGTTCTATACTGGTGGTGCGGGCTGTTCATTTTGGCTCCTGCATTCTAATGGTTAATGTGATCTTATCTGTGATCCTAGATTCTTAATTAAATCAAATATGCATGCCGACAGGTTAACATACCAGTTTTGTGAGCCAGTTTTTCAGTTCTGGTTTTTTAACTTTACCACTGTATTGATAGCTTGACGATTCTCCCAGGTAACATCTCATTGCTGGTAACCTCTTAGGCTCTACATTGTTTGGAGGCATTTTAGCCTATAAACAAATATAAACATATTTTAAGTATGCTACAGATCCTTTTTAATAAATATACTGTCACAATGTGTAAGATTTATCATAACATAAAAGTTATTTCTGTAAGTTGATGGATAAAATTCGAACAACATCAAACCTCATGGTATCTCTGAAGAAGTTGATGACATTTCTAATACTTATTTTGGAGTGAATTACAAAATTGCCTACTTAAATGGAAAGCTATGTTCAATATGGTTTATTAGAATGATACTAAAAAGTATTTAGATGGAAGGACTTTGAAATATTAGCCAAGACATGAATTTTTCATCAAAGTGGTGGCAAACCATTATTGTATATGAATCAAATTGGGAATATTTTTTTATGAATATCACTTGAAAAAAAAATACAAAAAAGTATTACAGTATCTGGACTAAAGGCTCCAAACTGCCAAGTAGTAAAATTTTCCTCCACAGGTTTGATATACCAGAGATTATATGCCACTTTCTCCAGCTTTGAACCTTCACCTGTAATATATCAATTTATTCATTAATAATTAAATTCAGGCATTTTTCTACCTTAGGTTATGATGCGAAAGAAAAATAAGAAATTTCATAATGATTTACCAACAAAAAACCCCATTGTGATACAAATTGACTGATAAATCAAAGTATTTGATAAAATATCTTTCTTTGATAAATTCTGACTGATAAGCTTGCTGAAATTATATGTAGTTTATTACAATATTTAGCAAATTACAAACAAAACTTACTAGCATTCCTGAAGACAACACAGAAAGGCTGATGTCTGGACATTTTGATGTGTCTCTGGAATACATGTGTTGGAAATTCTGGCAACAATGCATGGTATGCTGAAAAGAAAATAAGTTTTTACACCAGAGTTTATTAGAAATAGCTACATACTAATTAGAAATAGCTACATATATACAGACTCAACATACCATAAATTATGGAACGAATTTTATTTGATCTTTTCTAAATAAGTTACTTAGATAATCCAGATATCAAATCTGAAGTTTGCTTGCACGGATATAAATTGTATCTGGTACTAATAGTGTTGATTCATATCAAATGATAGTCTCTCAAAGAGGTTTTAAAAATTTCTGTAAAAAAAAACACTTTTACAATGGTTTAGTGAAAACACCATTTGAAATCTTAATTACCGAAAAGAAAACCACTCACAATAAACAATTTCTGTTGAAGTCACAATTAGAATGTTAATGTTCCAGTTTGTCAAGAGTTAACTTTAGTTTAATGTTGGGATCAGTAATGCGCCAGTCAGCTGTTATCTGGCCCCAGCCCCTGACTCAAACCTTTAACAATGCAGGGATAACAAAGATTTTATCTTCCATCTGCCAGAATAACAAATGACACTGTAACTCACAATGATGGATATCTTTTTGGGTCATATGACCCAATTGGAAATAAGCACACCAGCTTAATGGGCTAACCTTGTAACCATAGATCACTCCTAACAAAACCATTGTATTAAAATTTTATTATTTATTTTTTGTGTGTGTATACTATACCTGTACAAATGCTGGTACTTTTTATCCCCCCATATAATATCTTAACATCTATGTTAAACTAGATAGACTTTATATATCATGTCAGTAATTCTAAACAATATTTTGTGCTTAGTTATTAAGTCTCTGACTTGTAGTCATAATCTGAACTGTGGTTTTTCATAATTTCATCCAAAGTCGTATCTCATTTCAGTCCTTAATGTAATTTATTTAATTTATTACTTATATGAAGTGATATTTTTAATAGTTAGTTAAACTGTTACTTTTATCACAGATATACAACAGATAGGAAGCTCCGAGAAATGACGTCAGATTCAGACCCACAATCCTTTGCAAGCTTCAGTGATAATCGGGTTTTCCTGAAAGTCTCTGATTTTTGGCCCTTTTGTTAAACTCCGGCGATATCCATGAATTAATGTTTACATTGCCGACATGGATTTTCATCGGAGAAATATTTGTGTGGAAAAGTGTGAATTGTATGTTTTAGAAAAAAATAACTATTGCTTCTTATATAAGTAGAAAAGGCTTCGTCTTTTTTTATGGATGTACCTCAGGGAATTAAATATGTAGGTATTCTGGCTACTTTTACACAGGATGCATCAAATCTCTGAAAATCCCGTGACATGATAACTTGCGTGAACACAATTCTGCCGATACTGAATTTAACTGTGTGATGTCACAGTTTCTTCTCAATGATCATCTATATTTAGTTCCATGCTTTTATAAATATATAATCCTTTTATGTAAATGCAATATATGTTGTTGCAAAAAAAAAATGTCTTCACATCAAAATGCCAGAAAGTTAAAAAAAAGTGTTGTTTAAAAGAGGATAATAGAAGAACATAAAGATCAACAAGTTTACATCCCCTCAAATGGTTTGACGGCACTATAACTTGTGGAATCTTAAAGTGATAGATATTTTTATGAATGTAAACATTATTATAGAAACATATTATATGACATGATAGCTTTACAAAGTTCAATACTTTCAGTTTGTTGGGAGATAGAGTATAAAGTCTTTGAAATAAAAGTCACCACTATTCATGGTGGTATGGGGATTGGCTAATAACTGGCTTGTTCAGCTAATTTTTAGTGTGTTGTTTTTTGTTTTTCATCTGTATAAATACACATTATTTCAGTTTTATCGTTCACTAGAATAGCATTCTTCTTTAAAAGAAACATCTTTATGGGAAAAATGAGACATAACTTACAAAGTTAGATAGGATTTACTTCAGTCAAGTAATAAAAAAAAATTGGGTCGAAACGTTCTGAGGTCGAAATGTCTAAATCTTTGCATATCATTCATAACATCGACTAAATTGGAATTGAGAAACACAAAATGAATCTATTCAACAGCTTGTATTTTCCTTAGAAAACCGACTTATTAATAAAACAATTCTTACCTGTTGCCACGCATATGTAACAGAATAAGAAATGAAAATAAAAATGCAAACGAGAAAAGACTCGTACAGCCGCCATGTTGTATATAAATGAAGAGTATTCAAGGGCTGTTAATACGAGGCCCGTAATTTAATTTTTAACAGACTAAAATTTAATATTGAACAATGTACGTGGCACGATAGTGTCATCGCTATATCTTTAATATTTCAATGTTTTTTTTTCTGTAATTTTAAGTAAAGAAAATTTAATTGTTTAATACCACTTGTATTGCAAATAAAAGCCTTAATCGGGCTTAAATTGCACGTAGTTTAATAAATCCTGCAAGCCATGTATGCAAAGTTGGGGTTTTTAATTAGGGGAGACTGGGACACTCTGGGACAAAAATCATAAATTTCAATCTCCTACTTAACATATCTTAAGAATTAATGCTCTCTTTCGTGGATGAAAAGGACAATATGTACTGGATGTAGCAGATAACTAATTGAACTTAAAATAATTAAGTTGACTTGGAGATATGCATGAGAACATGGTCATTGAAATGTCCCAGAGTACCCCGAGCTAGGGGCACTCTGGGACACCATATATGGTACAGTGGGACATGCTTGGGTACGTAGGACAACATGTATAATTTCATTGAAACAAAAATATTACTGGAATTGAAAATCTGCGGTTGTTTCAAAAATCTAGATGTTCCAGTGCACGTTAAATGTGGAATTCTGCTTAAGCCGATGGGGGGCGGGGGAGGGGGCGGCTAATTGCACTTTCCATTACTGTTTATTAACAGGCTTGAAATCAAACTGAGCTTGCAACATTTTCAATTTTGCTGTTTTGGGCTTTCTGTAGGAATTCTATTGAAATTTCTCTATTTTTATTTTAATTTTGATAGGTGCGTATAGTCACACTTGTTTTGTCCAAGCATGAATCATTGCCATATTAATGAATGACAAAGTTTGGAAAATATAATCTAAATTCATTCATTTGACGTTCATTGTCATTTCAAGGTCAAGAACATATCTAAATTATTCCATATGTTTCTTTGACCACATGTGTTGTTTTGTCCACATGTGCATCAAATTTTTCCATAATGACAAAATATGACAATCAAAATTCAATAATATGGCCATGACAGTCGAGGTCATTCAAAGGTCAAGGTCAGTTTATCCTTTCAGAAGTTCTTGTCCAAATTTTTGTTTTTGCCAAACATTAAGATAATTCATTTATTAATTACCAAGTTACAATCAATTATGGCAAAAATCAGTGAAAGTGCAATAATCTAACGGTCAAGGTCATAAAAGATCAAAGATCAACTTGAGTTTGATACACATGAAAGTCTAATCCAAAAGAGTGTTGTCCCAGAGTACCCCAACCACCCCACCATTTTTATGTGACAATAATTTTAAAAGACAACCAAACCAAGATTTATTTCAAATCAGAAAATAAAGGCAATGTTTAGCACATTATCATTTACTAATATGATACAAATAAGTATTCAATGTAGAAGAATTTGAAAGCTATATAGGATTTTTTTTAGAATTTCACTTTGGAAGGTAAAAGTGCATTGTACTCGCCAGACTGATTTTTACTCGATTTGCTGCTATGAAACTTTTGAAGGGAAAAAAGCTTGACAAGATCAAACATCTGCATAAATCAGGTTTAAATCAAAGAACAAAAGCTATCAAAAAATCCCATTGTCCCGCAGTGCCCCATGTCCCAGAGTACCCAGTCTCCCCTACATATTTATGTTAAATTTCAACTTTTACAGTATCCAGTAAACATTGCCTTTCCTCTATATGTAAATTTATACACATCCTTTGCACCAGAAAATAATTTTTAACTTACTCCAATCCTCAGGAATAAAAGCAGGGCCACCCTCACTTCACCTAAAATATCACCTATAATGTCCGCTAAATGCTAACAAAATATTCACCGCTGTTTTGCACAATCGCGTGGACCCGGCAATCCGAAACTGCATGCACTGAACCAAATTCGCACAACATATTAATTGGAACACAAACATATATATTAATTTAAGAATGTGCAGCAAAATGAAAATTTGTACATGTATCCAGGGTCTTTCAAATTGATCAAAACTATTTGTAAGACCCTGATGATTTTTAGCTATAAAATATTCTAGACATGCAATGTCAAAACTTACAACTAGAAATGCTTTTATCAATACCTTATGTTGTTTAAATATATATTTTTTGTATTTTTTAATTCCACGACAAGGCCTCAAATGATAGTGCAAGGTTAAAGTAAAGTTGTATCGGATATGCACGTTATTCGGATACGTACATGTATGTAGTTGATGATGGATTATGTTCAATGAAAAAAAGATAAACAATTTGAATTTGCCTATGATTTAATATTGTGGAGAATACATTAATATTTTGTGTAACAACAACATAAAGCAACTTCAAAAAGAAAATAATCGTACCACGAATTGTCTCCTAAAGGACTTATCAGTTTCTAAAGGAAAACATGGTTCGTGTTCATGATGGACCTGAGATATGAAACGAAAATGGAAAGATTGAAAAGACAAATTTAGTCAGCAAAAGTGGTAAGTTGCAGTCTCGTATTCGACGATGGCATGTACATGTACCACACGTACATGTATCTGATATATGTACATTCTAACAGTGTAATGTATATAAAAGTACATGCATGTAGTACGTCATATAATATATGAGATTGATTAGTTTAGAATTACTTTGAATGATGTGGCAGTGTCCCCAGTGTTTAAATAGATCTGAATTAATCCATTCTTGAACCCTAAAAAGAATGGAATATGACCGCTAGCTTTATACTTTTAAAGAGTAGTTATAAGTGTTCAAGAATTGCTGATTTAGAGATTGATTTGTTGAAAATTTCAATACATACATGTATATAGTATTGCTGAACATGGATCAAGTCATGTTCTGTATACTCAATGTATACATGTATTTTAGGCTTAATGAGGGTCCCTCAGCCTTTTCAGGCCATCATTCATGCATGTCCTTCAAGGTTATAATCTGCCAAAATATGATCATTCAGTAATTCATTAAATTTTACTAAATATGTATGTATCTCGATTAATGTGATGTTTTCTATTTCAAATGATGCAAATGAGATTGTTTATTAACAAAAAATGATGAAAACTTTTGGAATTACCCAATAACTAGTTTTTCCATGTTAACACGTGCCCGTACACCTAATTTTGGTGAAAAATCGTTCTTTTTTGACATTTTTTTTATTAACAAAAAATAATGAAAACTTTTGGAATACCCAAAAACTAGTTTTTCCGTGTTAACACGTGCCCTTACACCTAATTTTGGTAAAAAATGTTGTTTTTTGACATTTTTTTGTTTTTATTAACCTTTTACCCCAGGAGTATATATTGTGAAAAATGGCCGTTTTCATTGAAAAGCCTCCTATTACATGTTCAAACTGCTATGAAACTATAAAAAGTGCTTCAATACTGATGAAACTTGGCACAAATGTTGACTAGACCATAGTCTCTGTAATCGTAAATTATCTGTTACCATGGCAACGGGGGGACGTATCAAAATTGCCAAAAATCACTATTTTGCATTGCTTTTTCTATCAAAACTGATTTCAAAGTGCTGCAACTTCTCAATGAATTGAGATAGAGTAAAGGGCTTTTCACCGTCGGTTACTAGTTACCCAAGATCGACCTGCCTGTCACATGTCCAAAATTTTCTGAGCGAAAAAGGGGGCTGCCGCCCCCTTTCAAACCCCCAAACAGATGGGGACACATCCCCCTTCTGGCAACCCCGTGATGTACCATTTTGATGGGGGCGGCGCCGAAAAAGTGGTCACTTTTTTAACAACATTTCTCAAACGAAAAACATTGTTTGGGGCCTAAATAGGGCATTTTTTTTTCACTATTTGAGGCCTGAAAAAGCCGTCAAAACACGTCTATATGAGGGAAAAGGTTAAATGCATTATGGGCCGGGATAAGGTCTTACTGCCAAAATAAATGATCATATTTTTTCGAACGGGCTTGACTGACTGATAAGGTTTTGCAACTGGGACTGGTACATGACACACCTTCCAAACAAACGTCCAGTGTTTCACTGTTTAAATTTTTACCATACATTGACTTACGTTGTCATGTTTTAGCAGTTTAGAGGACGGGACCTGAAGTTGTCCACACGACCATGTCTGATGTATGGTTGACGCCAATACCACCGAGAGAACCTCGGATATGGAGGGCTTCGAGCACGGCCATAGTGGTACTTGTATCAGTTGCCGGTAAAATAGTGTTGAGTAAGTGCAATATATATATATATATATACATGTGCCACAGAACAGATAATTTATAGTGGAATGAGGTTTGTTGGGCTGCGGAGTAATATTTAGAGTGATTCGCGTTCGCGTCTTAGCCGAATGAACACAAGAAATAGGACCAACCTTTTTGTCAAATAAAAGATTTGTTTGCTTTGAATATGAAAAACTTTTCAAATAATGAAAGAAAAGGACATTTAGATTGTTCTATACACCATTCAAACTTATCAAAACTCGTTGAAATAATATACACCATTCTTGTCAAACTTATTGTAACTTGTTGAAATAAAATAGTTGTATTATAATGTGATGATCTCCTGATACAAGTCATTAACAAAATGTTACACATATATTTTACTTTTTGTTGCAGGAATGAACAAACCAACATTTTATGGGAAAGAAGCGTTTAAAAGATGTGTTGCTAAGCGACCACAAAATAAACCAATGATAACCGTGAGCAACCATACCAGTACTGTAGATGATTTTCTCGTTTCATGTAAGTTTTGTTTTCACTTTGATTATACAGCATAGTTTATGAATAATAACAAAAACAATTCTTATTTAAATGTCAGTTTTAATGTAGTACACTAAATAAGCGATTTACAGTTCCTTCACGTCTGCAATCCGTTCTTATATCGTAGATACGTTACCATGGAAACAACTGCTGAAAAGAACGTCGTTAAGATGGTTACCTGGGGCCAAGGACATTTGTTGTCGCACCAAACCAACGTCGTTGTTCTTCCAGCTAGGTCGCGTGGTCCCCGTGGTGCGTGGAGACGGTGTGTACCAGTATTGTATGGATTTCTGTGTAGATAGACTAAATGATGGCGACTGGGTTCATATATACCCCGAGGGTTTAGTTAATACGACCAAAGAATTAATGAGACTTAAATGGGGTAAGTTTGATCATTTTCTGACCATGTTCTGTTCTATAAAATTTCTTACATATTTTATTCTTTCGTTCATATCTTAAATTTTATCGAGAATTTTATTACATACCCATGGCGCTTTTTAGACTCACTAGAAACGATATTGCAGGGCCATGCATATATTTATGCCGTTCATATATCGTTCATATATCGTGTAATAATGCACTCGACCACCCTATATGTTGTAACTGAATGCTATAAATTAAGTGGACCATCGTCGGATACCAATGGTTGATGTTATAAATGTTATGGTTCGGCGTGGTTTCCGATGATAAATTGAACCGGCAAAGTGAAAACGAGGATAAGCTGATAAGATTGGATGCAATAATGTTTTATATTGTGAGATCACATTTTGAAAATGATTGAAGTTCAATGGTTACATTTAATATGGTGTGAAATAAAATAATTTATGCTCCATCATATTTTTATTCAACCTACAGGAGTGGGGCGACTCATTGCAGAAAGCCAGGTAACTCCTATCGTCTTACCATACTGGCACATGGGTATGGACAACGTACTTCCAATGAGATCACCATATATTCCTCGTGTAGGGCATGTAAGTTTCATGGTCATTTTCTTTCATTTTGTTTTTTTGTACTTACAGGGATAGTTACGGCCGTTAACCTAAAATAATTCGTTCCTCATTGCTGTTGATTCGGATTTCGCCACACTTACACTGAATGTTTTAGTCCCCTACCGGTTTAACCGGAGGGGACTTTAGGTTTACCCTCCGTCCGTCTGTCCGTCTGTCTGTCTGTCTGTCTGTCCGTCCGTCCGTCTGTCTGTCTGTCTGTCAGTCCGTCAGTCCGTCCGTCCACAAAACTGGATCCCGCGATAACGCAAAATGTACTGAAAATATTTTAATGAAACTTGATATATGGATAGATGGCAGTATGGAGATTATGCACGTCTTTTTTTTTTCTTCCTATGTTGAAAATTCTGGTTGCTATGGCAACAAATAGCCTGAAAATATGGCAAATTGAACACATAAACTGGATCCCGCGATAACGCAAAAAGTACTGAAAATATTTTTATGAAACTTGATATATGGATAGATGGCAGTATGGAGATTATGCACGTCTTTTTTTTTCTTCCTATGTGGAAAATTCTGGTTGCTATGGCAACAAATAGCCTGAAAATATGGCAAATTGAACACATAAACTGGATCCCGCGATAACGCAAAAAGTACTGAAAATATTTTTATGAAACTTGATATATGGATAGATGGCAGTATGGAGATTATGCACGTCTTTTGTTTTCTTCCTATGTTGAAAATTCTGGTTGCAATGGCAACAAATAGCCTGAATTTCAAGATTTCTGATTTAAATTTTTCAGCTTTTTCACTATAAGTTCTTTATTTCTTAAGGTGTTTACTTCAAACTTTAAATATAAGTTTCTGGTCATCAACCACATCATATGTGACAAGGTTTACAACTCTAGCACAAAAATTATCAGTATTACCTCCCTTGAACTTAGAATTTTTATGAAAAAAATGTTGTCTTTTTTAAATAACTTCTTTATTTCCTAATATATCTACTTCAAACTTCATATATATGTTTCTTATTATCACTCAACATTTTTGAGAAGGTTAAATAATCTAGCAAGACTATTTCCAGAATTATGTCCCCCTTGAACTTAGATTTTTTTCGAGAAATTGGTATTTTTCACTCCAACTTCTTCATTCATTATAGGATTTACTTTAAAATCCCACATGGTAATAATATGACAAGGTTGTATAAACATAATTTCCTTACTAGGCAGGGAAACTTAACACATTACTGTGATGTAGACAAACTTAGAACTCAAAAGATTTAAGTTCATTCAGGTCATTCATTCACTGGTAAAATTGACTGGCCAATGGCCCATCAGAAAGTTGCTAGGGTTCTAACCGGTAGGGGACTTATGGATTGCTTGCAATACTATGATAATTGCTTGTTTATTTTTCTCTTGCTATTGGCATATCATCAAAACAAATTCAGCACAAAGCAATGTATGCAACTTTCAATAAGTATGTCAATATTATTGCTTATTTAATAAATATCTTTTTAATTGTGAAGCTACATTTTTGCATGTCAACATTCCTAATATTGAGTATGTTAATGAAAATAAAATGCGTCTCGTCTTGAATATTAAATAAAAGATAAATGTATATTTTTTTTAGGAATTGACATCAATGAAGCTTTAGATTACAATGTCTGGTCAAAATACATCAGTTAAGCTTTTTTTAAACAATAAATTGATTGCCGATAATAAAAAATTATCCTTGATTGACATCAAATTTTCAGAAAGTCACAGTGGTTATAGGCGAACCAATTCATTTTGAAGAAGATCTGAAACAGCTAAGAGAGCAGAAAAAGACAGATGTAAGTAAAGCATTATCATTCAGTTTGCTAAATCAGGGTCTTTCAAATATAATTCGATTGATCCTCAGTGGCTAAATGCGTCTTTTGAATGTTGTTTTACAAGCATGGTATGTGAGTGTGAATTTATAAATAATGATTATAAGTTATTATATAACACTCGGATATCTTATTATGACTTGAAGTTAGATTGGTACTATATCTGAATTATTTTCTTTTACAGGAAGAAATCAGGAAATACATTACAGATAAAATTCAGGATGTTTTTAAATCTCTCAAGGAAGAAACGGAAAAGAAGCACAATGAATCTTCAGACACGCGATGACAGCATTAAAAGCCACTACCAGCATGGACATTGCTGGACAATTAATATAATAATTCAATTATTTACTGGTCTTACAATACATTTGGACATAAGGCAAAAAAGAAATATGATTAAAGAATTGATATTTGTAATGTATATATCATGCATTAGTACCAGTGCAAGTAGGAATGCATAAAATTATGCAAATGTGATAAAAGGTATATAAACATTGTGTAATAACAAAACTGTTAACAAAAGACACATAAACATAGTGTTTAAACTGTGACCAAAGACATGTGGATGAGCAATTATACAACTGTGACCAAAGGCATATGTAATATTGAAACCGTGGCCAAAGGCATTTGTGGGCATAATGTAAGATCAAAAGTGAGACCAAAGTCATGCAAACACCATTCTATATTTAAACTGTGACCAAAGACATGTGAATATATCCATTTTTACAACTGTGACCAAAGGCATGTGAACATTATGTCAAATAAAAACTTAGACTGATATGAAAGGCATGTAAACTCCATATTATATTAAAACTGTCACCAAATGCATGTGAATATATGCATTTATACAACTGTGACCAAAAGCATGTGAACAATATTTGATTTGAACTTTAGAATCCGACAGTAATAACGAAATAAGTATATAAGTATGTTGACATGTAAAATACAGAGATATACATATAAAAACTAAGCAGCAACAGATGTATGATGTATGTGCAACTTATACTGAATGGCTATATATGTTCATGATTACTGCCAAAGATATTGTGATATTAAATGTTAATGATTGATCAAACAAGGATAAGAAATGTAACGAAATTTGTTTGAATTATTTAGAGATATATTTTAAATAGTATAAAGCTATCGATGGCGGAATATACTATAAACATAAATCATTTTTATCTTTATATAGATACTGTGTTCCAATACCCTTACTGTCGTTTCTTAAAATTCTTTGCCAAAAACTGTCTATACATGTATTTAAATTCGTAATGAATTATATTATTGTCATTTTGATATTTTATCAGTTATCAAACTTATCATACACTAATTGCTTTTATATTGAGTACTGTTCACATTATACATGTCTTGTCAAACAATAATCTTTGAGAATTATAGTTGATATCAAATTATAATTTCATTGTGTGGAATATTTTTAAATGTTTATAGCAAGAAATGATTGATAGCTGTACATACAACTTTCAAATTAATGTGTCAAAATGTATATGATAATCTGTATCACTGTGTTCTATATTTTACAAGATCTTGCACCAAATATTTAAAAAAAACAAAAACTAATACAATAAATTATTTAAAACACATTGGCTTGGTTAAAGTAGTATTCAGTGAGTAAAGTTCATGGTGTCTGTTGCACTCTACGACGTTTCAGTAACGACCGTGCGACCACAAACCCGCATCAATTACGAATTTTTGGAAGTGACCACATCAGAAATGTTAAGAGTACAGAAACAGAAACTTTTAATTACTTGGTAAAACACAACTTGGACACATTTTATATTTAATTGCAGGATAAAACACAACGTCAATATAATATGACTATATGAAATAAAAAAAAAGTTTAAAAAATGTCACATTGAACCCCTACTATCTACTGCCTACTATCTTTCAATAATAAGACCCGATAACGGAGTGCAGGATCTACCGGGGGGGGGGGGCTTAACGGGCTGAAGCACCCCCAGACACCCTGGCCTTAAAAAAATCTATCAAAGATGGCATATTGAGGGTAAAATATTAGCAAAAACTGGCTTAAGATAACAGTGCCACTGACAGCGAACAGGTTTATATCCGGGCTATCCCTTCCCTTCCTTACTTTTTATACGATCTGTGTTGGTCTGAAATTTAAAAAAGAAGCCGCTGGGGACATTTCCCATTGTTTTGAAAGTCTATTAAATCTATATTTTAAGTTGTTAAACTTGTGTTCAAAAATTTATTTGTAATTGAGAGCCCCCTTTGGGCCTTTTTACTGGTTTTGCTGATTAAGAGAGAAATACGGTAAATCGTGTCAGTTAATTAACCACATAAGTCATAAACTTCAACAGTATGATAATATTTTCATCACAATATTTTTTAATGAGAGTTAGTACTGAAATTAGTGTGAAATCATAATTGCCATCATTCCAACTTTTTTCTTTCATATGTACTCGTATATGAGATCATGCCCATGTCAATTCTTAAAAGAAACAAAAATAAACCAAAAAATTCTAAAAGCATTAGGTTCAAATATTTGAAACAGTATTTAAAAAGAAGAAAAAAGAGAGAAAATATCGATTGATTTAATACAAATGTACATTAATATGTTTTTCATATACCTATCCTCAAAACGTGCACGTGCCGCTATGTACATGTAACATGAATCATGCGAATAATGCATTATTATGCGCATAACAGGAAACGGAAGTAGAACGCGACGCTGTTTGCCTTGAAGGTAAATCAATGTCCAGTTGCGCTTTATTACAACAGTCATTGTTGAATTGTTGATTAAAAAAATATATCATAAAATTAAATTACTTTTTCAGTATAAAAAAGGATTAAATTACAAAAACATAGACAAATATTGATCATTACAGAGTAAGGGTATGTATTTTAAAAACTGTTTTGTTTTAATTGTTATATTACGTCGTTTAAGTACAATGTATTCATTTAAATAATGTAAGACTCTACTGAGGTTTTTTGACATGACTGGAATAGAAATATTTTTCCAAGATTTATGTACCATTTGATGAATAATATCTGCACAAATAACTTGTGTGCATTTTTTTCAGATCATTCCCTCAAACAGTTTTTCCAGAAAATTCATTTTTAGTGTCCAAAATGATAAAAATGCGTTACAACGCTTTCCACTCTAATCTGGCTTAGAATCGCACAAAAAACACCGATCTTCAATTTAATTTTTAGTATATTTCTTAATATCCTTTGAAAAGTTTTCCATTTTGATTGCTTCATTTGATCTATGTAAAAAAATTCCTTTTCTGTCTTGCTACTTCCAATTTAAGCTGTTTTGTATGAATGAAGACTCAAGATTTTGCGTTTTATTTTTAACGTATCAAGTTAGGTTGAATCAATAAATATGTTTTGCTTTACAGCCTGCTTCATTCATCCAATTCCCTTTAAAAACTTCGTCACAGTTGAGTTTGCTGGGGTCTGGCACTGTTTACAGGACCATGCCTAATACATGGTTGACACCCACTCCACAGAAAGAACCAAGAATATGGAGACTTTCGAGTTCTGCTGTCCTACTGTTTGTGTCAGCTTGCAGTAAATTTATATTTAGTAAGTCATGTGTTATCATGGTAAACTTAAAACCATTCTATATTTATAACAGATCTTTGCGGAGTCCGTTATAAATAGGGTAGAAAATCATATTGCGATATTTACAGACGTGTTGAATATATATTGTGAATATTGTTAAGATATAAAATGCGTTGAAAATCAAAGAAAACTACACAATTGTTAAAAGGCATTTAAATAATGCTTATAAATTTAATGTATTTTCTTTAATTGACATTGATACGATTGTTGGCAAGTAACATTGTATTTTGAATTGCAGTTTTAAACAAAGTTTATGAATATATTGCGCCATCTCGGACACAGTACTGTAGGTAGTGAATTCGGATCTCTTATTTCTCAATTTTGAGACTTTAACATGTGAAGTTAATTTACTTGGGAGTGTTTTTCTCCCTAATTTTACATGATACGGGATTGTGTGTTGTCAAGAAAACATTGTATTGTTGTTATTGCAGGTTTAAATAAACCAAAAGTTTATGGGAAAGAAGCGTTCAAGAGTTTCGTTGCTAAGCGACCACAAAATAAACCATTAGTTACTATTAGCAACCATTACAGTATGATAGATGACTTTCTTGTTTCGTGTAAGTATATCTGTAATTTTGTGAAATCATGACTATGATATATGAACAAATCACTTTTCTGCATATGTAACTATATGTTGGCCGCAAACGTTCTGTTCATAATTATTTTATAATAGTACTTATATTTTAGATATGTTACCATGGAAACAACTCATGAAAAGAACGTCAATAAGATGGTTACCTGGGGCCAAGGACGTTTGCACACGTACCAAATCTTCTACACTATTCTTCCAGCTAGGTCGCGTGGTCCCCGTGGTGCGTGGAGACGGTGTGTACCAGTATTGTATGGATTTCTGTGTAGATAGACTGAATGATGGCGACTGGGTTCATATATACCCCGAGGGTTTGGTTAATACGACCAAAGAATTTATGAGACTTAAATGGGGTATGTATTTTTTCTCTTCTGGCCATATTTTTATAGACGAATTTTACTACAACTGCAAAAACCCCGAGTAAGTAAATGATCAGAAACTTCATAAACTGATACACAACCCAACTTGCCCAGGCAACCACTTGTATTGAGCGATATTTGTCTGCATCGACCACTTAAAATTCTCCCAGATTATTTCTACCTATATCGTATCGTCATGCATTGTCCAAATAGACCGTTCTATGTAGCCACCATATTTGGCCCTATCATTGAGCCAGGCCCCGGTACACGACGCTATACGCAGGTCGTGAAATATGAATAATTGCTGTTTTAAAATGTATAATAATCAAATAAATTATCATTATTTATATCCATATCTGTCATGTATTAAAATGAACAGTTGTGTCCTGGCTTTTGAAAAATGCCAATTATTTAATTTATGTATTTATATTACAGGGGTGGGGCGACTCATTGCAGATAGCGAGATGACCCCTATCGTGTTACCATACTGGCATGTGGGTATGGACAATGTCTTTCCAACTCGCATACCTTACTACCCCAGGATGGGAAAAGTAAGTTTCAGTTTCTTTTTATTACACATGTTTATCTAATTTCTTCAGTATTGCTTTTTTAAGACAAGTTTGCATATGGCTGCATTCAATCAATGGTCATGAAAGGGAAATATTTCGAAGAAGTAATAATATATTTTCTACATGTCCTATTGCACGAGCAAATTCAAAAGAGCTATTTCCATGTAAAGAATCCTGTTTTATAGTTAAAACTGTGAAGAATTGTCAGGAATAGCTCTATATTACAATAATTAACACAACCACATACTAGATGTGATTTTGTCGAATCTAAAAAAAATGAATTAACATTCAATAAATTTAAGGTAACTCTTGAAATAGATAAAAATTTGAGCCGCGTCATGACAAAACCAACATATAGTGGGTTTGCGACCAGCATGGATCCAGACCAGCCTGCATCTCCGCGCAGTCTGATCAGGATCCATGCTGTTCGCTATCAGTTTCTCTACTTGTAATAGGGTTTGAAAGCGAACAGCATGGATCCTGATCAGACTGCGCGGATGCGCAGGCTGGTCTGGATCCATGCTGGTCGCAAACCCACTATGTTGGTTTTGCCATGACGCGGCTCATTAATGATAATGCATGTATCATTCACATCATATTTTCAGAAAGTCACTGTGGTCATTGGAGAACCCATTGATTTTGAAGAAGATCTGAAGCGCTTAAGGGAACAGAAAAAGACAGATGTAAGGGGAAAATCATTCCAATAGCTAAACAAATCGTGTCTTTTTAGGACATTACAATCCCCCCCCCCCCCCCCCCCGTTAATATTTCATTAATTCTTTGTAGACTATACTATGTCCCATAGTTCCATAGTGGTTTTTTTATTATTATTTTTTTTTTAATTTGAGGTAGGTTAGAAGCATATAAAATATGAATTAATAATCAAAAGATTAAAATAACAAATAAACCACACAAACACGAGTTTTCAGTAATTATAAAAGTATAAATTGCAAACGTTTCAGCTAGATGCCTTCATCAGTGCAAAACATTTTTTTGTTGTTTTTTTTTATCAACAGATTTGATACATTCAATCAATTATTACCATTTAGATTTTAACATATTTTTTTAGAATGGGAAGTTATATTTATTATGATATTTAGAAATGGGTGTATTCAGCTGACCTGAACTAGAGTTATAGTAATACCTAACGTTTTCTTTTCTTATTACAGGAGGAAATCAGGAAATATATTACAGATAAAATTCAGGATGTTTTTGAATCTCTAAAGATAGAAACAGAAAAGAAACATAATGAAACTGTAGACATGTGAAAATTATAAATAATACATTTTAACAATATACAAATAAATTACACAAGTACATGGACGCTACTGACGTGAAAATTGTTGATTTACATAAAAATGTAATAAAATAGGGTTATTTGTGAACTTTGTTCAATGTAGACATGTGAACACGTTTTATCCAGAGACACACTTTAACGTTATATAGTTGTAGCCAAAGTACGTGAACATAATGCAATATGAAGAACTGTTACCAAAGACACCTGATTATCATGCATATATACAAAATGAGTCGAAATGTCTCATTTCAAAGGTCATCTTGCAATATCACAGATGTGACATGTGAAACATCCAAAAATACAAATGTGACTACATAGACACGTGAAACGATCCGACAACAAAGGTGTGGTCGCACAGACACGAGAAATCATCCAACAATAAAGATGTGGTCGCTTAGACACGAGAAATCATCCAACAATAAAGATGTGGTCGCTTAGACACGAGAAACCATCCAACAATAAAGATGTGGTCGCACAGACACGAGAAACCATCCAACAATAAAGATGTGGTCGCTTAGACACGAGAAATCATCCAACAATAAAGATGTGGTCGCTTAGACACGAGAAACCATCCAACAATAAAGATGTGGCTGCAAAGACACGAGAAACCATCCAACAATAAAGATGTGGCCGCAAAGACACAACAAAACCATCCAACAATAAAGATGTGACCGCAAAGACACGAGAAACCATCCAACAATAAAGATGTGGCCGCAAAGACACGAGAAACCATCCAACTATACAGTTGCGACCCCATAGACACTAGACACGTGAAAACAAACAATACAGTTAAAGTTTTTGTAAATGATTTTTTTCTCAATTTATGTAACACATTCTGTATATAAACATACTTGTACATGCATCATTATACATTTATTTGGTATGTATTCACTAGTGTTTTACCGCGAATGTTAAGTTGAGATTATATCCAAAAAAGCTTATTTGAATTTGAATAAAATAAAGAAAGGACTGAGATTGGTTCGTCTTTATGTGACTTTTCGCCAGATATTCTTACTTACATGAGGAGTATCATCGTACTACTTTTTTGACACCAATGACCAAATTCTCCCTGAAATGATTGATAAAACTGTGATTCCCCAATGTTTTTTTTTTCTTTTTAAAATACGTTTCATTCCGTAGATCTGTTAGATATATGAGTGACCGTAGACATGTGGACTCCATATCGAACTTTCAGATATTTAATGAACACAATATGAACACAACGCATGTTGAAACAGGGTCACACTATCAAGTCAAACGTTCCAGCCTTTCATTTTGGAGTACATTTTATCTCAACCTCTCAGGATTTTCATGAAAACTGGTTTTTAAAATGTTTTAATACATCCGAGACAACCTGGAGAAGTATACTGCTAAAGCGCCGGCCGAAGGTGATGGTCACTCTTGTAGGTCAAATACCTAATCAACGTGCTTAATTATCACCATGGGCTTGATCTTTTCTGTATACATTGAGACTTTCACCGTGCATTATTTAAGATAAGAAATATAAGGGCTACCATCGTGGGCTGTATGGGCTTTACTGTATTCTTTGGGACTATCACCGTGCTTAATTTGAGAAAATAAATATAAGATAGGACTATCACCGTGGGCTGTATGACATTTACTGTATTCCTCGAGACTATCACCGTGCTTAATTTGAGATAAGAAATACTAAATACTAGTAGAGCTAAATACCGTGGGCTGTAAGCTTTACTGGAGACTGTCACCGGTAAGAAATATTAGATAGGACTATCACCGTGGGCTGTGTGAGCTTTACTGTATTCAGCGAGACGATCACTTTGCTTTATTTGTGAGCTTTACTGTATACCTTTAGACTGTCACCAAGCTCTATTTGAGATAAGAAATATTAGATAGGGTTTTTCTGTAATGAAGTGTTATCATCGTGGTCACTTTTAGCAGTGCTAGTGGTTATCACCGTACCGTGTTGGAACTTCATATTACTAGTAAATGTCACGGTGGACAGTTTTAATAATGCAACAGTGCTAGATGATTGTCTCTATATCTCCCCTGTTCAATGCAGGGTTAATCTACCCATTACCAGATATACACGCCCCCCCCCCCCCACTTTTGTTGTCTCAAATGGTGAAAAAAAACTTATTTAGGGCCCCAACACTTGTTTTTGTTTGAAAAATGTTGTCTAAAAAAGTGAACACTTTTTCGGCGCCGTCCTCTATTCAAAAGATGCATTAGGGGGTTGGCAGAAGGGGGATATGCCCCTTTCTGTTTGGGAGTTTGAAGGGGGGCGATAGCTCATCGCCGAGAAAATTTTGGACTTGTAAGAGTCTAAAAGTGACCCCGGTAACGTGTAACCAACGCTGAAAAGCTTTTGCCTCTATCTCAATCCGTTGAGAAGTTGCAGCACTTTGAAATCAATTTTGATGGAAAATATCAACGCAAAATGGTGATTTTAGGCAATTTTGAGATGTCCCCTCGTTGTCATGGTAACAGGAATTTTAAGCCCAGTTAACATGTGTGCCAAGTTTGATTAGTATTGAAGCAGTTTTTAATAATTTAAAATTTGCTAGTTAACAAGATTCTAAAATGTCTTATATCTCCAAAAGTTCAATGCAGTAGGGTATAAAGGAATAATGGTTGGTGAAAAGATTTCAAACACAAATTGTACACCAACAGAGAAGATCATAATTATGCTATACATGTGCTAGGAATAATACATCACAAAATAAAGACATCATACTTGCAAAATGCATTTTATTATCATTCAAGAAATAAAGATCTGTTCTGCAAAATATGAAGATGAAACTTCTCAAAATGTAATAACAATTCTATGTTTTAATTATCTGCATAATGGGATTGTTCAGGACAAATTTCCCAGTAACATTTTAGTGTGGCCAGTAATGTGAAATAATTAACACTACTCAAAACAGTATTTTGTGTAATAAAAACACTGTGGTCAGACATAAAGCAGTAATATATAGAGTTCAGAATCCAAAGATTATTGGGCTCATTTCCAATCAGAAACGGATCACATGTTGGAGTATTTTCAAAAATTTGTGAAAGAAAATAGAATATGAAAATGTTTCATTTTGAAGTGCATTCCTGAATATGAACTTTTCATTTAACATATTATGCTTTCTGATGAAAAACAAAAGTTTTATGAGTTAAGTATGCAATATATATAATATTTCTCACCGATATATATTTTTCACTAGTAAATCTATTATTTCCCAGTTAGGCATAAAATAATGTTATACATTTCCTTAACATTTTAAATATGCAACTAATTCAGTTTAAGTCTAAATATTACATAGTAAGTGATTATTTTAAATAATGTTTCAATAAGAAGGGTTATTAGAAATGATTTCAGGGGTATTTACAAATAATTTCATTTCTACTGACCACACCGCATTAATACAGAAACGTTTGGCATGCACCAAAAAATAACAATTCTCACTTTTCAACAATGTATATAAATCAATTTCCCTGTCAAAGATTATCAACTTGGTTTTTTTTTAATTTCAAAATTATATAATTCAATCAAACTTAGCGGAACAATTTAAGAACATATTCTTACCTAAACAATTTTGTAAAAAAAAATAATATCTACTCAACTAACATAGTTTCAGTAAGATAAAAACTGAATAATTTATAAATTGTAACATTGGAAATAATGCAAAAATGCAAAATCATGACAGCTGTTAAGACAGCAATTTTCCCATTCCTTGATTGGTATTTCTTTTATATAATTGTGGTATGATAGATGGAAAAAATCACAAAGGGGTATGGCTAATAAATACCTGTAGAAGAGACATTATAAAATAAACATTAACCAAAAGCCAAAACCAAGGTTTATAATACAGCAAATATAAATATATCTATATATATACTGAACCAAAAAAATATCGATTCTTTCCAATTGTTGTATATATACAAGTAAATAAAATATCTATCTGGATGACAGTGGAACTATTTTCTCTCTCTCAATAAACATGAAATGTGCTCGACATTTACCAGCACTCTTTAAGCTATTAGTAATTACTAAAATTAATGATATGTTCTGCTAGTTTGGGTAGAATTTTAAATAATTTTAATTATCTATTTATAGACATGATGCAATACTTGAATTTTATAATATTCTATAATAAACATGTGCCTAGTCTTCTCAGATTAATCATTGAAGAAAACATTTGTGTTATTTTTCTCTTTAATATTTGCAAAACTGCAACAATATTTACTGTAAACTCAAGTAAAAAATCTAGAAAGTTCAACTGTTAACGTGTAAGTAAACATTATTTTAATGTTATGTAATGTTGTTCAAGATAGTTTTGTTACTTTTCCACTGGTACAGTGATGTTTTTTCATCAACATATGTTGCAAATGAGATAAAAATAGTTTTTATTAAATGTTAAAAAAGCTAATTCTTAGCAAATGAAAAAATAATTAAAGGGGAAAACAATTAATCCAAGTCCCTTTTTGAACTCTAAAGAAAAGAAAATCTTGCAAAAATCGAAGAAAAAAAACCAAGCGAGGGATCTATGTGATATACTTGTTTACATTTATATAAAACAAAATATGACTGGTACAATTAAATAACAAGCAAAAGTTGTAATTAAATAAGGTTGAAGCAAATGATTGGATGCAAATATCAATATGAAATTTTTCAGACCTGCACAGAGTATTAGCCATGTTTTTCTTCTGTAATCAAAACCTAGATAAATTGTATTAATCTCCTAGATATAAGTATAAGGTGTAGTAAAGGGCCTTTACCATCAAATTTTTATCTGGACCAGTTTCCACGACCACGATGCTGAATCTGACATTCTAACATGCTCCACACTTTTTCTTAACAAACAAATAGTAAAATCAAGTGCAGACATTTTATGACGATAATTGGGTTAATTTTAGGAAAATTACCAGATTATTTTCATTTATGAACTAGGATTGTCAATGCAATACTAGAAAGTTAGCTATCCAATGATAACTATTGTTTTTTTTCCTTTTGGTAAAAGACATAGTAAAATTATTTGTAGTATAAACGGTTTCATGGTTGACAAAACCAACACATCTTTTTCATTTTAAGTCCAAAGAATTGTATTGTATATAATGTGTATACCGGTAACTCTTCAAAACTGGAGGAAGTAAAGAAATATATACTATATAATTATACAAAACTGACTGGTCAACAAGAAATGTGGGAAAATGGTGTGAAGAAAAATTGGTAATTTTTCTGTGCAGTCTTTAAAACGATGATGTGAAAAA